TCACAGCAACCTCCAACTCCTAGGCTTAGGCAATTTTCTTGTCTCAGCCTCCCGAGTAGCTGGGACTACAGGCACCCGCCACAACACCCGGCTATTTTTGTTGCAGTTTGGCCGGGGCCGGGTTTGAACCTGTCACCCTCGGTATATGGGGCAGGTGCCCTATCCACTGAGCCACAGGTGCTGCCCCTCATTTTAATTTTTAAATAAGAGCAGAAGTGGCCATGCGGTGGTGTCTCCTTCTCTCACGAGAGGCTCAAGGCATAGAGCCGGCTGCTGCACAGAAGTCAGGAGTGAGCCTGGAATAAGGTGAGAGTGGTCTGAACAACCTGAGCAGCCAGCCTCACCCAACTGACCCCTCCTGGCCCACCCTGGTCCCCACATCCTCTCATTTTCTATTCCCTACTAGTGTCCATTTGTGGGAAGGTGGCCAAGGCCACTCCATTGAGAACCTCAGCAGGCTTACTTCCTGGGAACCTGGGAGTGGGCCAGAGTGGCCTCCACTAAGCATGGAGATCAGGGAAGTGGACAGTGGTGGAGTTGGGGAACCCATGCAGAGAGGACAAGGAGCCCCACACAGGCCCCAGGACCCATCTGGCTGACAACAGGCTAAGCAGCCTCAGAAGCTCCTGCCCAGCTAGCTATATGTGTGGCTGTCTTGGCCATAGGCCCTGATGTGGCAGTGAGGAAAGGGCTCCTGGGAGAACAAGAAGGGGCAGAATTCACAGAATGAGCAGCTTCAGGAGGGTGGTATGATCTGCATATTTACCAGAGGAGTCTTAGTCCTCCCCAGATGTTGCTCCCCCAGTGGAGAGCCAGCTACTTTCTTGAGGGGCATTTTCCTGAAAGTTTGGGCCAAAAATGTGGGCATGCATCATACACAGAGGGGCATGTTCTACAGGGCAAAATATGGTAGGTGCAGGGTTAGTGCTACCCACATAAGGTGCACAACCTTATTTTCCCCTAAAAATGGGGTATATAAGAGAGGAAAAAGAGAAAGAGAGAAAGGAAAAGGAGGAAGATTCCAACGTGTGTCCCTCTTCCAAGTTTGAATGTGGCCCCCAAAGCTCGTGTGTTTGAAACTTGGTCCCCAGGGCCACAGTGTGGAGACATGGGACCTTCCAGAGATTATTAGGCCACGAGGGCTCTGCCATCCTGAGTAAATCGATGTCAGTATTGGGGGACTGGGCTCCTTATAGAAGGATCAGGCCTCCTTCCTCTCGTCTCTTGCCCACAGGAGGCCTCCTGCCATGTCGTGATGCAGCAAGAAGCTCCTTACCAGATGCTGGCACCTTGATCTTACAAGTCCCTTCCCCCAGAACTATAAGGAAATAAGTCTTTGTTGTTTATAAATTATGGAGTCTCAGATATTTTGTAATAGCAGCATGCAGAAGGCTATTACAAAATAGTGGCATGACGCCTGGTCACGCTGCTCCTTGTCATTATCTGGCACTTCAGCCTCTTCAGCCTTAGCCCTTGCACTTCCTCCCACCCTCTCCCCCACCCTCTGCTCCCAATCTGCTCTGTACAACCAGTTCTCCTACCCTTCAGTGTCTACCCACGCTACCGGACCCAGCCGGTGCCACTGCCTATGTGGCGTGTCATGTCCTCTGTCCTTTCCTATTATTCTGCAAGGCTCAGTTTAAATGTCAGCCCCTCTGGGCAGCTTCCCCAGCAGGCATAACAATTGTTCTTCTTCCTTCATTCCCATGGCACCTTGGCTAGTATGTTCTATAAACTGTTTTTCAACTATACTGAGCATGTGAATCTCCTGGGGGTCTTGTTAAAATCCAGACTCTGATTCAGGAGTACAGCCTGAGCAGCTGTATTTCTAACAAGTTCCCAGGTGAGGACACAAGTCCGAGGACCGCATTAGAGCTCACCACCTTGTAATGTGAATAATCATTTATGTATTTGTGTAGCTCTGAGCTCCTTCAGGGAAGAAGCTGTGCAGCACAAGTACTCAGACCACAGGATCTGAGTGCTGATCACAGGAAAGGACCAGGAAAACAAGGGAGACACTGCCCCGTTTGATACAATGAGGCTTCTCCCCTCCTGGCAGCAGCTGTTGAGGTTGCCGGGAGTAGCAGGTAGCAAGGAACATAGTGACAGTAGCTGGGGACCAGAAAAGCCCTCTACACATGCAGTGCTCAGGCTGTCCCTCAGGAAAGCAGGCAGGAACCTAAATACACTTCACCATCTCCCATGCCACAAATTTACTTGTTTTAGTGTCAATCTCTTTATAAGGGTGTAGATCTCCGTAAAGGTAGAGTATCTGTCCGTTGTGTTTATGTGTCCGAAACAAAACATAGAATACAGTTGGTCCTCAATAAATATTTGTTGTGGGCAGCACCTGTGGCTCAGTGAGTAGGGTGCCGACTCCATATACCAAGGGTGGTGGTTCGAACCCGGCCCCAGCCAAACTGCAACAACACAAAAAGTAATAGCCAGGCACTGTGGTGGGCACCTGTAGTCCTAGCTTCTCAGTAGGCTGAGACAAGAGAATTACCTAAAGCCCAAGAGCTGGAGGTTGCTGTGAGCTGTGACACTATGGCGCTCTACCGAGGGCAACAAAGTGAGGCTCTGTCTCTAAAAATAAATAAATAAATAAATAAATATTTGTTGCATGGATAATTTTATGAAAAATTAATCTTTGTTTTCACTTCTCCTTTCTTTCTACAAATCTTGTAACTGAGCAAGGTCTAGGATGCTTCCTCAAGGCCCAGGTAGACAAGGCAGTAGTCAGTGAGAAAAAGGACACACAGATAATAGCACCAACTTAAAAAAAATAATAATAAGATGGCAAAAATTATGAAGGTTGGGTTTGCATGCCTCCAGCTTAATCACACTAAGGCCTAAACATGCAAAAATCAGCTTCCCAGAAACCTTTCTCATAGTTCCCCAACGCTGGGCCCAGTATTCCCAGAACTGAGCCAGGAATGCAGTGGTAGAAAAGGGCCACGTGAAGGCAAAGGACTGAGTGATGTAGACCCTCTCAACTTGACCTGGCCTTTAGAGATCAGTCTGAAAGTGCCTAGTACATCAGCACCCGGCCTTTCACACCCATTGGAAACCAGAAGACTGAGTGTTTCATGAAATAATTACAAAACACCGTACAAATTCTAAGACTGTTATAGCCAGATCATCAAATATCAATATACAAAATGATAATAAACATAAAAATAATAGTATACAATAATATTATCTATGTATATAGATGGAAAGGAGTCCATCTTCAGATAATTCTTTAACGAGCTATTTATTCACTTCTCCCCTCGCCCCACCACAGCCCATACCCCAAGAGTTTAATTAGCAGAATCACACACCTGATGGAGAATGGTTTCTGTGCATGTAAGCAGAAGGGTAGGGAGCCTGCCGGTGTCCTCGGAGGCCTGAGTAGTGCTCACAGCTATGGTGTGGGTGGGGAGCAGGCAGAGACAGAGGGGCCGCATACTGGTAGTTGGCATTTCCTGCTGGACACACTCCATCTGGATTGGAAAAGATCCAGCCTCCCACTGGAACAGAAAAGAGGAAGATGTAGACTCAGTGTGTGAACTTCACACCAAAATTCAGGTGACCAGCTACTTTGCATAGCTACATTTTTTGCAAGTGACACTGATGTTTACCTATGTGGAATACCCTCAGCCCTGCTGCTGCTACCCTCCCCATATCAAATAACTCAGCTTTCTCTGGAGATGCATGACTGGTCCTATCAAAGGACCCTATCGAAGAGTGGGAAGCCTCGTAGGAACGCTGGAATACAGATATACCAAATACAATCTGAATGCAGAAGTTAACACAATGCAAAGAAGTTGCTTCTGACCTAATCTGATTAAAATAAAAATCAGTGTTGGAGGCATTAGATGTTTATGTAGTTCAATGATCTGTAGCTACTAGAAATGTTCGATGTGGTTACACAGTAAGAATGAAGGCCTCTCTATTTCTGCCTAGTGGGAGGCTATCTTCAGTTCTTACTCCTAGCAAGAAAGAACATGATGCCTCCCATCGCTCCCCACGAATAGAATTCTGATAGCACACAGAGAGAGAAGGAGTGGGCCTAGCCCACCTTGAGACCAAGCATTTTGCAGAATATTTCAGAAGTGTAGGCCAAACATGGTGGCTCATGTCTGTAATCCTACCACTCTGGTAAACTGAGGCAGGTGGATTGCTTATGCTCAGGAATTTGAGACCAGCCTGAGCCAGAGCAAGAGCCTGTCTCTAAAAATAAAAAATACCCAGGCATTGTGCCAGGAGCCTATAATTCTGTCCCAGCTACTTAGGAGGCTGAGGCAAGAGGATCACTTGAGCCCAAGAGTTTAAGGTTACTGTAACCTCTGATGCCATGGCACTCTACCCAAGGTGACAAAGTGAGACTCAGTCTCAGTCTCAAAAAAAGAAGTGTATAAAATATTTCATACAAACCAGTGATGTGGTATGTATAAACCTCCTACTGACCAGATCTTAGCTGAGAGATGCACAGGTGGGGATTCAGACAGGACCAAAGCTGTTGCTGAAGCCAGAAAAGTGGCCTGATGAACACTGATGGAAAAAATAGAAAAGAACACCAAAAAATGGAAAAACAGTCCATGGATTGAAAAACAGCTCATGGATTGAAAAAATCAATATTATTAAAATGTCCATAACTCCTCAAAGCAATCTACAGATTCAATGCAATTCCCATCAAAATACCAGTGTCATTCTTACAGAAATAAAATATATATAGATCCACAAATGCCCCTGAATAGCCAAAACCATCCTGAGCAAAAAGAAAAAAAACTAGAGGAATCACATTACCCAACTTCGAATTATACTACAGAGCTGCAGTAACCAAAATAGCACAGTACTGACATAAAAGCAGATACGTGGACCAATGGGACAGAATAAAGAACCCAGAAATAAATTCACACACCTATTGTTAATTTATCTTCAACAAAGGTGTCAAGAACATACAGCGGGAAAAGGACAGCCTCTTCAATAAATGATACTGGAAAAACTGATATCCAGTACCAGAAGAATGAAATTAGACCCTTATCTCTCGCTCTATACAAAAATCAAATCAAAATGATTAAAAACTTAAATCTAAGACATGAAACTACTAAAAGAAAACATTAGGAAAATGCTTCAGGACATTGGTCTGGGCAAGGGCTTCTTGAGTAACACCGGCCAAGCACAGGCAACCAAAGCAAAATTGGACACACAGAACCACATCAAGCTGAAAAGCTTCTGGATATTAAAGGAAATAATCAACAAAGAGAAGAAACAGTCCACAGAATAAGAGAAAATATTTGCAAATTAATCTGTGGATATGGGATTAATAACTAGAATATATAACAAGCTCCAAGATCTAAAGAGGAAAAAAATCAGATACTCCAATTTAAAATGAGCAAAAGACTTGAATAGACATTTCTCAAAAGAAGACATACAAATGGCCAACAAGTATATGAAAAATGCTCAACGTCATTAGTCATTAGACAAATGCAAATCAGAACTACATTGAGATATCATTGCACTCTAGTTAAAATGGCTTTTATCATAAAGACAGGCAATAACGAATGCTGGTAAGGCTGTGAAGAAAAGGGAACCCTAGTATACTCTTGGCAGGAATGGAAATTTGTGAAATCACTATGGAGAGCAGTATGGATGTGCCTCAGAAAACTAAAAATAGAACAACCATATGACTCAGTAATTCCACTACTCAATATATGCCCAAAATAAAAAAATTCCATATATTGAAAAGATATCTTTCTCAGAACTTATCCCTGTTGTTAAAAAAAAAAGAAGAAGGTATCCACATCCCATGTTTATTGCAACACTATTCACAATAGCTAAGATTTGGAATCAACCTAAGTGTTCATCAATGGATGAACAGATAAAGAAATTGTGGTATGTATACACAATGGAACATTATATAGCCATGAAAAAGAATGCAATCCTACCATTTGCAACAACATGGATGGAACTAGAGATCATTGTGTTAATTAAGTGAAATAAGCCAAGCACAGAAAGACAAATCTTACAAATTCTCATTCTTATAAGGGAGCTAAATATTAAAACAATTAATCTCATTAGAGACTAAGAGTAGAATGATTATTACCAGAGGAAGGGAAGCATAGTGGGGAAGTAGAATAAAATGGGAATGGTTAAATGTAGTTAGATAATTAGATAAAATAAATATTTGATAGCACAACAAAGTGACTACAATCAATAATAAATTAGGGTATATTTTAAAATAACTAAAAGAGGCTGGAGTCACCACTGCCAAAGACATGGTCAAGGTCATCATGGACCAGTCAGCCTGAGCCTGCTCACTTTCAAAGTCTATGCAGCACAGAGAAAGGACTCACCTCCCCCAAATCCAGTGAAGATTATTGACGTTTCACTCTACTCAGTTCCTGAAGGTCAATCCAAATATGTGGAGGACCCACAGACCCAACATGAAGAAAGCATCTCACAGCGGCAACACTGCTGCAAGCCGCATACAAGTTGGTGTCCGAAAACATATTCCCAAACCAAGCCTAAGATGCAAAGTCTGGTTCAATGGGGGTTAGGCAGCTATGAGTATCTCCAAAATGTACCTCCTGGATTCTTTCCAAGACTTGGTGTTATTAGTGTTGCTGGCCCTATTGGACTCCTTTTGGCTACAGGTTCAAAAGTAAAGAAACTGGTGTATCCACCTGGTTTCATGGGATTAGCTGCCTCTATCTAGTATCTACAAGCCATTGCAGGTCAGTGGGGAGAAATTATATGACTGGGGTTTAAGAGGATACACAGTCATAGAAGATTTATGGAAGGATAACTTTCAAAAGATATAGGTAAACACCGGAAACTCCATAGAGTAAATCAGTATTTCTACAGAAAAATGGCAGAGAAGTCAGTATTGAATGTGTTAAACTGGCTTTCTTCATCAGGAAAAACTATACTAGGCCTACAAAAAACTATGATTTGTTTGTTTGTCATCCTACAAGCAAACAAATCTGAAATCCTGTCAACTAGAGATAATGTTCAAGCCTTAGAATTCTTCATTCTCATATTGCTACTTACGTACATAATTAAAGTCCAAGTTGAAAAATAAATAGATAAATAAAATAACTAAAAGAGAGAATGAAAATCTTCCTAACACAAAGAAATGATTGATTCCTGCGGTGGTGAATATCCCGGCTGTCCTGACTTGATCAATTCACATTGCATGCCTGTATCAAAACATCACATGTACCTGATAAAGATATACAACTTTATGTAGAATTACCCATAATACCTTTTTAAAAACTAGACTCTAAGAAATTCATCATTCCCATTCTTATCACCTGCCTCAAATTTGTGTAAACCCCTGAAGCCGAGGACCACTAACTCTCTCTGGGAATTCTGGAAAGGGCCTAAAGCTCTGTCTTGAGCAGAAGAAATAACCTGCTAGATCTTTTCTTTTCTTTTTTTCTTTTTTTTGAGACAGTCTATGTTGCCCTGGGTAGAGTGCTGTGCCATCACAGCTCACAGCAACCTCACAGCTTTACCTCAAGCAGTAAAGCATTAGAGATGAGGAGAGTCCCATAAGCTAAATCTAACTTTCAACCTCTGAGGTTGGGCTTAAGTGATTCTCTTGCCTCAGCCTCCCAAGTAGCTGAGACTACAGGTGCCCACCATAACATCCGGCTATTTTTTTTTGGCCAGAGCTAGGTTTGAACCTGCCACCTCCAGCATATGGGGCCGGCACCCTATTCCTTTGAGCCACAGGCGCCACCCCAAAGAGCCAGCTATTTTTTGGTTGGAGTTGTCATCGTGTGGCAGGCCCAGGCTGGATTTGAACCCACCAGCTCCAGTGTATGTGGCTGGCACCCTACCCACTGAGTTATAGGTGCTGAGCCAACCTGCTAGGTGTTAATCTGGAATAGGTCTTACTCAGGTTAAGAGGAGTGGAGTGAAAAGGGAGACAGTTGCCGGTATGGCCCCAGACACTTCCTACCTCCCACCTCCCGCCTCCCGCTCACCAGACTCACAGTGAGAATAGGCCACGTGCTGGCTCTCCGAGACAGCCTCCGGAACATCTTTTAGGTGACTTCTGAAAGAGTAACAGAAGGGCACCATGGCCATCTAGCATATTATGCAGGTGCAGCAGGAAGAACACCCAAAATTCTCTTTGGAAAGCAATTTCTTGCAATAAGAAAACCAAACACCTTTTTTCTCAAAGCTTCTGTCCTTCCCCCATTCTCCTCCGGGGCATGGTCTCTACTTGTGCGACTACTCTCTGAGCTGCAATTTTACGGTTCGTCCCCCTCTTTACCATATTACAGCTGTCCCCATTAAGTTAGATCTGATCGATCTGGGGTTCCTGCTACAGCCTGACAAGATTCAAGCAAGTCCTCTAAAATTTACGCAGGACTTCAGGGCACACATTCTAGCGGATGGGTATGTGAGATCCGCCAACAACCCTATGAGGGAAGTATTACTATAATTTTCTAATTTCAAAGACTAGAAAAGTGGATCTCAAGGAGGTAAACTGATTTATTTAAGAGCAAATACCCAGGAAATAACAGAGGGAGGCCCTGGGACCTCTCTCTCACAGTCCTAAATTCTTTTTACTATACCATGCTACTATTATTTTGAGATATGTTATCTCACATATCAGGGTTTTTTTAGGCCTTTTGTTAACAGAAAAAGTTGTGAATGCATCTTATAGAGCATCAGAATTTATTTGAATATTGAACAGGACAGGTGACACATCATTATAAACATCTATCCAATCATCCAGACCCTATCAGAGCCTTCAAGGTGACATTGAAAAGATTTAAAATTCAGAAAACAAAATCTGAACACTTCAAAGGTAACCATAGTTATACTCTAGGCCTTGTCAAGAGAAAAGCCAGAGATAAGCACTGTTTTCTTTTATTTTGTCCTGGAATAGAAAAGAAAGACAGAGATGGCAAGTCACTGGGCCAAAGTGGCCCCATCCCTAGAAATTTCTGGATTCTTTTCTCCACAGAGAAATGTGAACCCCTCAACCATTCTTCACCTTTCATAGGTTAAGTGTAATTTTTGTTGTTTGTTTTTTAGAGACAGAGTCTCACTTTGTTGCCCTCGGTAGAGTACCATGGAGTCACAGCTCACAGCAATCTCCACCTCTTGGGCTTAAGCAATTCTCTTGCCTCAGCCTCCCGAGTAGCTGGGACTATAGGCACCCGCCACAGCACCCGGCTATTTTTTTGTTGCAATTTGGCTGTGGCCAGGTTCGAACCTGCCACCCTCAGTCTGTGGGGCTGGCACCCTACTCACTGAGCCACAGGCACTGCCCAGTTAAATGTAGTTTTAAGGAAAAAAGCTTATTAAAAAATACTACTCAGAATTAATTAGAAGAGCAGAATCAATTATTATACATCTAAATCAGTTAATTATTTTTTAAATTAGATTGTGCTACTTTCAAAATCTAGAGCAAAACAGGACAAAACACTACTAGTGAAAGGTTCTCCTGGACCCCTATTACAAGAAACAGATAATTATGATTTGGTTGAATCTTGCTGATGTTTTTGAATTAAATGGGGGTTTTAGAGGACAATTATAGACTCACTTGCAGCTATAAAAAATAACAGAGATTCCTTGTACCCTTTGCCTAGTTCTCCCCTATGAGAACAACTTGCAAAACTATAGCATAATATCACAACCAGCATATTTACATGAATACAGCCCAGACACAGAGCATTTCCACCACCACAAGGGCCCTTTCATGGCCTCACCCGCTTGTCTCCCACTCCCTGCCCTCGTTTGTTGAATATCGTAACGAATACTGAAAGCATAATCTTATCAAAGGGTAATATGCTACTAGTCTAGTTCCATTCAAGATGATCATCAATTTCACATTTACAAGTTCATAAGACTTTACTGGAATTTCTCGACTCACCTTTCCTTGGCGTCCAAGAAGGCTTTGGCAAAAGGGTTGTACTTGATTTTGAGAGCTGTTATCTTGCATTGACAGAGACAAAGACATGTTAGTGAAAGCAGGACACATGTGGGCAGACAGAACCCTTTGTCTTCACCTATGAATTTCTGTAAAATCAGGATAATTCCCCTTTCGTTTCTTTCCTCTCCATGTTTCTTTGCATCCTCCTACACTAAATCACTGCTGCACTGTCTCTGACCAAAAAAACATTTTATTGAGGCATGTGGTGAAATACTAAGTGCCGCGTAAAGTGAGAAAAGAAGGGGCAAGGCATTAGCGATGAGCAGAGTCCTGTGCACTAAATCTAACTTTCATTGTTTCATCCATCCATTCATTTTTTTCAACAATCTTTGAGCCCCTACCACCCCTGTCAGTTGCCTGCTTTTCTAACCACATGGAACACAGCAGAGAGCAGCACAAGTGTGATCCCACCTCTCTCGGAGAGTGTGGCCCACCATCGGTCCCCTCATTCTTAAACAATCACTTATTCCAGTGATTCTCAAATGGTGTGCCACGGCACACCAGTGTGCCATCAGGCGATCTTAGATTTGCCATGAAAATTTTTAAAGATCATTAATTTTTTTTTTTTTTTAAACAGAGTCTCACCATGTAGCCCTCAGTAGAGTACTATGGCATCATAGCTCACAGCAGACTCAAATTCTTGGGCTTAAGCAATTCTCTTGCCTCAGCCTCCCTAGTAGCTGGGGCTATAGGCACCTGCCACAACACCCAACTGTTTTTTTATTGTTGATGTTTCAGTTATCATTGTTGTTTAGCAGGCCCAGGCTAGGTTCGAACCTGCCAGCCTCAGTGCATGTGGCTGGTGCCCTACCCACTGAACCATGGGTGCCACCCTAATTAAATTATTTTCAAAAGAAGTTCAAAGCACAGTAAGTATATGCTTTTTTTTTTTTAACTCTTTCTTTTTTCTGGGTTTTTTTTTTTTCTGGTTTTTGTTGTTGTTGTTGTTATTGTTGTTCAACATAATTTTTTCTTTTCTTTTTTTTTTTTTTATTGAATGGTAACTTATTCAATATAATTTAAGTGTCCCATGAGAGAAAAAAAGTTGAAAAAGGCCAGGCATAGTGGCTCACACCTGTAATCCTAGCACTCTGGGAGGCCAAAGTAGTTGGATTGCCTGAGCTCAAGAGTTTGGAACCAGCCTGAGCAAGAGAGAGACCCCTTCTGGAAAAATAGCCAAGCATGGTGGCAGGCACCTGTAGTCCCAACTTCTCTGCTGGAGGCTGAGGCAAGAGGATCTCTTGAGCCCAAGCGTCTGAGGTTGCTGGGAGCTCTGACACCACGGCACTCACTCTAGCAAGGAAGACAAAGTGAGACTCTGTCTCCAAAAAATAAAATTAAAAAAAAAAAAAAAGGTTGAAAAACACTGACTTCCTCCTTCAGCCATGTTGATGCAAACACTGTCACTCTTCTCTTTACCCCCTCAGTCAGAGCCATCTGACATAGAGATGTCAGAGGTAGAGAGAGAGAGATTGGCTTTTTCATCTCCCCACTGGGATGGATGTAAGTGCCTTGAAGACAGGGTACTCATCTGTCATCTTCATTGCAGTATTCCCAGCATCTAGAACTATATTCAGCATCTAATAATGCCCAACACATATTTGGGGACTAAATGAATATTAAGAAGATGTGTGTCATCAAAGGCCTGAGATTAACTATTCTCTGGTGGAAGGAAGAAAAGGAAAATAAATACCCAACTCTTTCTGGCCCAGAGCTTGTGGGGAGAAAATAGGAGAAAGATAGAGGAAAGGTTTGGAGACAGATAAGGATGACCTGAACTTTTCTTTTGACTTAAACTTGGAGAGGTCAAGAGGCATACATGAGGCCAGCAGGGGTACAGGGAGGTTCTGGCCTCCCCTACCCACCCCCACATCCTTTCATCTCTCAGGGTACATTTGTGTTGACTTGACAAGCAGACTTTGCTGGCAGAGGGAGGCTCTGGGGCTTGATTTTCCAGAGCTTGATTGCCAGGGGGCATGTTTAAGGCCTAGAAGAAGTTGAGTCAGGACGGGGAGCTTGCTGGCTGGGTCATCACAGCCAGTCAGGTGAGAATGTCCAGTACCTGCAGGAAAAGCTTCTGAATGTTTACCAACTCAGCAGCCAAATGACAAGTTGGGCCACCGACTAAGAGAGCCAGCAGCAGGCCAGAGGGTAGGGGCCTTGCCTGCAGGCCAAGAGGGGACTAGGACAAGAGGGGACTAGGCGACTGTTCTTTAGCCCTCTGCACCTCCTGAGTTACAAAGACCCCACCCACCCCTCCTATCCCCAGATTCCAGCCCAGGGTGAAAGGCCAGAGAGGAGGCCTGTCTGAGAGACAGCCAAGTGATCCTAGAATGCCTGGCCACCAGCTGAGGGACGTTGGTCAGACAGCATTCTGTTCCCACTGGCATGTGGCAGGGGCTCTGGTAAGAGGTCAAATTACTTATAGGAAAGACATTCCATTTTCAGTGTACACTTCTGATAAGAGCTAACTCTACCACTTAATTTCACCTATAGGTTCTAAAACAGTAGTTTCCAAACCTGGATAAGGGCTAGAATCTCAGGAGACTTAAAACAACAGACTTTGAGCACCGTCTTTGGAAAGCCTGACTCAGCTGGCTGAGTGGCAGCCCCAAATCTGTCTTTTTAAATCTTCTGAGTAAAGAAATACAGATTAAAGCCAGAATAAGATATCCTTTTTTTAACCTATGAGATTGTCAAAGATGGAAAAGGCTGATAATAGCCAATAACAATGGTGTGAGAGGTGCCCTTTAGAGGAAGGCAATTTGCCAATGTCTATCAAAATTCTAAGCATACACTTCCCTTGATGATAGATGGCACTGGGAAATTCATTGCTGCATTATTTATAATAGAAAATAAAACAACTGAAGACAACCGAAATCAGTGGTTCTCAACCTTCCTAATGCTGCAATGTATTTTTATTATTAAAAGGGGTCAGGACCCACAGGTTGAGAACCACTGACCTAAATGGACACTGGAGGGTGGCTGTGTACATGAAATATGGTATATCCATAGAATTGAATATTCTGCAGCATTACAGAAAAAAAATATGCCTGGATCTATTTGCATAGAAAGATATCATCTTGAGCGGCACCTGTGGCTCAAAGGAGTAGGGTGCTGGCCCCATATGCCAGAGGTGGCAGGTTCAAATCCAGCCCTGGCCAATAAAAACCCTGCAAGATATCCATCTTAAACTGTTAAACCAGGAAAAAATTAATTTGCAGATTAATAAAATTTATTAATATACACAACATGAGCCATTTATGTGAGGAAATCTACATTTGCATATATCTATATGCACAGAAAATGTGTGGAAGGAAACACACTCTAAGCGATTACTTGTAGTGTCCGTGCAAAGTGAGATTCCAAAGGCAAAAGAAAAATAATATGTCGACCTTTTAGTTTTCCTTTTTACTTCTGTAATATTGGTTTACTATGTGTTTTTTAAATGAATACATATTACTTTTCAAGTTTAACAAAACAAATCCAGACATCTCGGGGTGCTTCTGATGAATAGCAGGCCAGGGCACCCCTGGAGTGCACAGTGACCCCAGAGCAGTTCAGAGAGGCCGGACACTGACCACGTGGCTCTGACAGCCAGGGTGGCTCCAGTTACTATGCAGGAAAAGACCCACCAGTGCTCGGATATTAAACATGCACAAGCAGGACAAATAGCATAATAAAACCCCCAAACCCAAAGGGGACTGCACATCTGAATCACTTCTAGAGCAGGGGAGGACAGTCTCCATAGCCTGTGCCCCATCCTGCCTGTTCCAGAAGGCCAGCTCTGTGCAGGCCAAGAGCACATCAGGTCCCCAAAAGAAAGACTTCTGAGTTTTCAGCCTAACTCAGGAGTTTTATAATAACGCACAAATGTGCCTTCTTGACACCAGCAGAGGACATGCTTTTGGAAACAGGGAAAAGAGAGGAGGTGGAGAACAGCTACTCCATTGTTTAGCTTCATCTCTGCGAGAGTATCTGAGTCCTGGAAAATCTTTCATGAGGAGGACTCCCTCCCCATCCTGCCACACTCTCCAGGGTGACACAGGCACACACTCTCTTACCTCCTCATTCTGATAGGCAGTCACAGCTATGAACTGGGTTTCAGGGAAGGAGCAGTTCATGACCATTCGGTGGGCACCGCCAACACGCACGATGTGAACCTGGGGTTCATATTTATGCAGAGAATTCAACATTATCTGTTGAAGTGGGAGAGGAAGAGAAAGAGGAGAAAAGCAAAAGCCCAGTGTAAAAGCCCAGTGTTTTGCAGGTGATAGACAAGCCAGCAGCTTTGATTGGTCTCAAGCTCAGCAGTCACTGGGTTAGGGACACACATTTCAAATTCTAGGTCACCTGCACTTTTGAGAAGTTAATGGCAGGCATGGGGGGTGGGGGGGCACAGTCAGATTCTCCCAGAAAGCACAGCATTGGAGCCTACACAGAGGCCAAGGGAAGGTGGGGAGGTTGCCAGAGAGAAATTGCTCTTAAGAGTGCTTGATTTCGTGGCAAAATCCTGGTTTCCTTTTTCCCTTCTCCCCTGTTTTCAGCACAATAATGTGGATTTCAATCCATTAAAAATACATTGGGGGGGGTTTCATATGAAGGTCCCAATGATTCAAAATACTGACAGCAGCTGTGACTAAAGAGTGTGACTAAAGAGTGTTGAAATCTGACATCTGATGCTTACATGGAATCCAGTACAATCCACTCTTTATGGTTTAAGTGACAGGTTTATGGAAAATCTCCTCATGAAATCCTGTAGGCAATAGCAATTTACTTTTCAATTTCTGGTTTCAATAAAGAACTAGCTGAGTACGTGTGGTAGGGAGGTACAGTGGCATTTCCTCCACCTCCTCAAACTTGAAGGCCTGCTCCCGCTCACTGAGCACAGAGAGAGCAGACAGGGAGCACCAGGGGAAGGGGCAGGAGGCTGGCAAGACCACGCACACAGACAGGGAGAAGAAATTCAGCCTGGTCCTCCCTGTTGGCTACATCTGTAATCCTGAGATACGGTCTGCATTTTATAAAGTAACTAACAACCTCATACAGTGGACTGGAATTCACCACCCTGCCCTAGACAATGAGAGGAAAGCTCCCCCCAAATCTTGTTTACTTTAATTGTAGGCCTTAAATAAAACCTTCCTTATTTATGGTTTGAATTATTTTTTTTTCTGAAAAACCAAAGCTAACTCAATAGTCTATTGATAATTATCATAATGCCCAAGTGGAGGGAGTAATTATTTCATTTAGGAGCAGCTTTTTATTAAAGTATTTGTCTATTGCCAAAATGCCACTTACACCAAAAAAGGGGAGAGAGACTAACAAAACCCTGGTACCCAGAAACATCTCCCTCCCCAGGCTGGGTAAAAAGCCCTGCAGTAAGAAACTATGAAAAGGGCCCTGATGATTAAGTAAACTACTGCACTCTCTCACTCTCTTACCATCAGGAAGTCCATTAAAAACTGAAAGCACCAATTAAGAGCTATTTATTCCTGTTTACATTTGGACTCCAGGGAATAATTGGCTTCTGCAGGAGAAGAGGCTGGTGAGGACACCTCTAATTGCCTAAATGCACCCTTGATATTTTTTGATTGGTATTGTGCGGAGGCCAGTTTGGGTGTCCGGGCAACCGGCTCCTACCTGCCCACCTCCGTTGAGCTTGTTGGTCAACTTCACTTTGCTGAAGGAGATGGGAGCCTTCATCCAGTGGGCCCCAAAGTTGGGGGAGTCGGGGTGGATGTAGACACAGCTGTGGCTGGAGACCTCTGGCTTGCCCGCGGGCACCCATTCACCATTGACATACTTCCAGCGGTGACTGTCAGTTGGGACAAAGTCCAGCAGGAGGGAGTACATGGCATTGGGGTCCAGCCCTGTGACACTGATCTTTAGGACAGGGAACATCCGTCTAAAAGAAAAGGCAGAAACTTAGCTGGGGGAGGGGAGTTAGAGGACCTCCCACCCTGTCCACAGGTTTCCCACTGCTAAGGAGACCTTCCACAGGATGCCCCGTGGGGGGACCAGATAAACAGGCCCCCAAGTCCACCAGGACCTCTTTTTATGAACACATCTGATATTGGAGTTTTGTTACCGGACAAACAGGGTCTGGCTGCCTGTCACTGTCAGCCAATATGCAGAGACAGGGACAGGTCCGAGGAACTTTGTCAGAGACCGGGATTCAGGACAACAGCGAGAGTGGCCTCTCCAAGACTGTTCTGTTCTTCTATCTCCAAAATTACAGTTTTATACACAAAGGTTCAAAGCAAAGACCACACCAACCCCTATTCTAAATAATAACCAGCATAACTCAGTGACCTATTACAACATTCCAATTCGAAAGTTAACCTCCCAAGTCAATCCACCTAAACTACCCAAGGAAGGCATCTTAGGGTGGGAGATAAATTTACAAACAGTAAGAATGGGATTCAGGGGGGAGGTCAGGCAGGACCTAAACCCAGCAGACCAGCTGTGTCCTGTCCTGTCTGCCCTAGCCTGACAGACTCCAGCTTATTCTCACTACATGTGCTTTCTATTTTACTTTAAAACATGCTCCATTTTAAATAAAGTCTGAAGGCCACCAATGTAATCATGTGAGAGAGGAGAAACCTAAAGCCTGAGACCTGTGATAGTCAGTCAGATGCCACGTCCCAGCAGAGACCTTTCTTCAAAGATATCCCCCTGGCATTAATGCTACTCACCAGTCCTTCCCAGCCTCATGAAGAATAATAGTAATAACATTTACAGCAAGAGAACAAGGTTATAAGATAGAATAAGTGAGGGAACACTCCGTTAGGGTAGTTCTTTTCCTCTAGGACAGTGTTTTTCAAACTTTTTTTATCTCACGGCACACTTAAACCTATAAACTTCCATGGCACGCTTAAATTATGTTGATCAAAAAAAAAGAATTTAAAAAAGAATATCTTGGCTTGACGCCTGTAGCTCAAGTGACTAGGGTGCCAGCCACATACACCAGAGCTGGCGGGTTCGAAATCTATCCCAGGCTAGCCAAACAACGACAACTACAACCCAAAAAATAGCTGGGTGTTGTGGCTGGCGCCTGTGGTCCCAGCTACTTGGGAGGCTGAGGCAAGAGAATCACTTAAGCTCAAGAGTTGGAGGTTGCTGTGAGCTATGACACCACAGAACTCTACCCAGGGTGATAGCTTGAGACTTTGTCTCACAAAAAAAAAAAAAATATATATATATATATATATATATACTGTGCTCTAAACTTCTTTGGAAAATAATTTAATTAATGATCTTTAAAATTTTTTATGAACTGGGCACTGTGGTTCACACCTATATTCCCAACACTTAGGAGGCTGAGGTGGCTGGATTGCCCTGAGTTTACTGGTTCGAGACCAGCCTGAGCCAGAGTGAGACTTCATCTCAAAAAAATAGCCAGGCACTGTGGCAGGTGCCTGTAGTCCCAGCTACTTGGGTGGGTGAGGCAAGAGGATCACTTGAGCCCAAGGTTTGAGGTTACTGTAAGCTATGATGTCACAGCACTCTATGGGAGGGTGACAAAGTGAGACTCTGTCTCAAAAAAAAAAAAATTTTTTTTTTCATGACACACCTAAACTCCCCTTGTGGCATAGCCAAGGCACACTGATTAAAAATCACTCTTTTAGGACCTCTCAGAACCTTCAGGAAGAAAGTGTGAAATTGTGCACACCCTAAATTTATATGACAGTAGAACTATCTTTTAACTGAGAATTTTGTGGGAATTTGTGTCCAAGGGATAAAATTTGCACATTTTGAGATACACAGCCCTTTATGCATTAATCTTTCTTCCACCCTTTAGAACAATACCAATAAATATATGGAGAAGTTATCCAAATAGTTTGCATCTGATTCAGCAATATTTTCATTATCCCCACACACCGCCCCACACCCCTCCCAAACAACCCGTAGCCATTAGTCGTCACTCACCATTCTACCTAGATTTCGTATCTCTAGAAAGAGGAGTGGAGCAAAGTGTTTCCTGCCAGCCAGGCAGGCAAGAGGCAGAGTTCTTGTCCCTTGCGCTGCCAACTTCCAAAGTCACTGCCTAAGGTAAGATTCTGAAGTGGAAGGAAGCTGAGCTGGGCCAGCTGAAGGGCGTGGACGCAATGGCAAGACAGCCAACACCTTGCCCGGTCAGGCACTGGAGTAAGCACTTCATGTGAATTAATTCATTAAGGTCTTACAAAATTTTTATGAGGTTATCTTGCAGAGAAAATATATTTAAATAGGAGGCTAGGACAAAAATATGAATTAAATAAAATTTCTAGGGGGAAAAATCCAAGTCTTGGCTGAAAGTCGCCTTGCCCACCTCATGGGTCCCTTTCCTTCATGGAATGACTGTATTTTCATGTAAGATAAAATGCTGAGCTGCCCCTAGAGAGGCTACCCATGGGATGTAAAATCTTCCTGCTTCTAGCCTCAGTAGAAAATTTTTTCTCTATTATTTTCTCTTGATATCAGATTAAACTATTCTCTTTTACAATATATTTTGGGGTTTTCAATTATTTTAATAGTACTGGCCAAGTCTAGGAAACAGAAAGCCTCTAAAAGTACAAATGCCATTCACCAAGAATGATAAAAGTGGGCTTTAGACATGACTGCTGGGATTACAGAGAGTCATTCTGCAACCAGGGATCTGGCTCATCTATCTGGAGCAAGCAAAGAAATGGTCTCTGTGTGCTGGGTTTCTGCTTTTTCTGAAGCACTAAAGTTTATTTTCTTCTTTTTTTTTTTAATTTTAAAGAAATCACAGATGTGATATGGGGTTTTTTGCACACTAATGTTTAAAAGTACCGAAAGTATTTTCCATAAGACTATGCAGTACATTTAAAAGTAAAAAATAATAATAAAGTTAAAAAATAAAAAAGCTCATAAAACATATGTTCCCCGTGGACTAAGCAACCTGCCAGAGTAATGATGCAATTGTTCAAGCATGACAGCAGAATGTGAAATGCCATTTCATGTAACTCTGCCTTTTAATTTAAGAGATGATTTAATGCAAGACAGGTGTTGTAATGGTAATAGTTGTCATAGATACACATCCCTCCATATCGATACGTTCTGCATTGGTAAATTCAACCAAATATAGACAAAAAAGATAAGAAAAAGCAGCTCCCGTAGCTCAGTGGGTAGAGCGCCGGCCATATACACGAAGGCTGGAGGGTTCAAGCCCAGCCTGGGCCTGCTAAACAACAATGACAACTGCAAGCAAAAAATAGCCGAGTATTGTGGCAGGCACCTGTAGTCCCAGCTACTTGGGGGGCTGAGGCAAGAGAATCGCTTAAGCCCAAGAGTTTGAGGTTGCTGTGAAAGGGCAACATAGTGAGATTCTGTCTCAAAGAAAAAAAATACAAATAAAACAATATAGCATAAATTTTTACATAGCATTTATATTGTATTAAGTATTATAAGTGATCTAGAGATGATTTAAGGCAGGCATCCTCAAACTAAGGTGGCCTGCATAGGACATTTATTAGGCCCACCAGGTGTTTTTGCTGCCGCTGCCTGTCCTGCTTAGCAGCTGACTCCTCCAGGAGTCCGCAGTCTGGCCCTCCAAAGGTCTGAGGGACAGTGAACTGGCCCCCTGTTTAAAAAGTTTGAAGACCCCTAATTTAAAGTTTATAGTGGATGCACATAGATTATATGCAAAATATACTCTGCCATTTTATGGAAAGAACTTGAGCATCCATGGTATCATGGGGGTCCTGAACCAATCCCACAAGGGCACCAGGGGAAGACTGTACTGAGTTTTACTCTGCACCTAGTACTTAATATACGTTATATTGCATTGATGTCGTCCTTCACCCCTAAGGAGGTAAATGTTATCGTGTTCCTTTTATAGGTGAGGAAACTGGGGCTCAGGAAGCAAACATTTCATTCCATTCACTACACTCCTTTTTTTTTTTACTCATTTTCTCCTTTTTCAGACTTCTAGAAAGTTAATATGAAAGGAAAAGGCTTCAATGAAAGGAAAGACTCCTTAATGTTTTTTCAAAATCTTAATACCAAATTATAGCTTTTTTTACTCACCTACAATTTTTGAGTACCTGCTCTATGCCAGGAAATGTTCTAGGGGAGTATTCCACAACAAAATTTGCAGACCCATTTCTGCTCATGAAACTTACATTCTAGCACAGAGTTTAGGCAACAAAAATGAATACGTTGTTGGTGCTTTTTTAATGTATAAGATAATTTTAGATCGCAAGAGTACCATAAAGGAACTAAAATGGGTGATGTTGCAGAAGGAGAGTAAAGGGTAAGTGGCTATTTTAGCTGGAACTGAACAGACATTAGCAGGTCAGGGAAGTGACATTTAAGCTAAGACCTAAATAATGACAAGAAATGAGTCATGCAAAATGCCATTTACAAAAGAATACCAAGCACAATGACCATGAGATTCAAATGAGCCTGCTCTTTTGAGAAACTGAAGAAGGCCAAAGTGGCTGAAGCAAAGTAAAGGAAAAATTCAAATATTTATCCTTGCTGCTAATAGATTAGAGTGCCCACCTCTCACTATCTCAGCCGCATCCTGCTAGGTCTCACAAAGAATACAGCATGACTTTTTATTCCAGAATAAAAGGCCATACATGTATAATGACTTTTTTCTTTTATGCTATATTTAGACCTGTACATGATGTTTCAAAGAAGCTATGGACACAAGAAAAGATGTTTAATGTGATTAGCCGACAGAGAAACTCCAAATGAAAACTGCAGGGAGATATCACATCACACCCACCAGGATGGCAGGATGGCTGTAACAGAAAAGGCAGACATTCAACACAGAGCTGGAAGTTCTAGCCAATACAAACAGGCAAGAGAAAGGAATAAAGGGAATCCAAAAGGGTGCAGAGGAGGTCAAACTCTCGCACTTTGCCAACGATATGATCTTAGAGAACCCTAAAG